ATGTCAAGACAGCATTTTTGAATGGTGACGTAAAAGAAGAAGTTTACATGACTCAACCTGAAGGTTTTGTCGTGGAAGGAAAAGAACACATGGCATGTCGTTTAAAGAAATCCATATATGGCTTCAGGCAAGCTTCAAGGCAGTGGTACCTAAAGTTCGACGATATTATTAGAACTTTTGGTTTTAAAGAGAATGAAGAGGACGCAGTAGGTTCACATTTTTAGTCCTATATGTGGATGATATTCTATTGGCTTGCAGTGATAAAGATATGTTGCATGAGACCAAGAGATTTCTGTCCTCAAAATTTGACATGAAGGATCTCGGTGAAGCCTCGTATGTCCTTGGCATCGAGATTCATCGAGATAGGTCCAAAGGAACATTAGGACTATCGCAAAAGGCATACTTTGAGAGAGTACTAAAGAAATTCAATATGCATAAGTGCTCTTCTTGACATGCCCTCATAGTTAAGGGCGATAAGTTTGGGACATTCCAATGTCCGAGGAACCAAAATGAAACTGATCAGATGAAGTCGGTTCCTTATGCTTCAGCTGTCGGAAGCATCATGTATGCTCAAGTATGTACACGCCCTGACTTAGCTTTTGTAACCGGGATGCTTGGCAGATTTCAATCTAATCCAGGACCGGACCACTGGAAGGCCGCAAAGAAAGTCTTGCGCTATATGCAAGGTACTAAAAATTTCATGCTTACATATAGAAAGTTCGATAACCTGGAAGTTATTGGTTATTCAGACTCTGATCTTGCCGGGTGTGTGGATAGTATGAAATCCACGTCAGGTTATATATTCACACTCGCTGGAGGAGCCATATCGTGGAAAAGCTCCAAGCAAAAGATAGTTGCCTCATCTACGATGATGGCAGAATATCTAGCATGTTTTGAGGCCACCGGGCAAGCTGTATTCCTAAAGAATTTCATTCCCGGATTTAAAGTGGTTAACAGCATTTCCAAACCACTGACATTGTACTGCGATAATGAACCCGCAGTTTTCTATGCGAATAACAACAAGTCAAGTGCTGCTGTCAGGCACATTGACCTAAAGTACCATGTTGTTCAACATAGAATCCAGGAGCAAACTATTAATGTTAAGCATATCAGTACGACACGTATGCTTCTTGCGGATCCTCTTACTAAAGGCTTATCACCCAATATATTTCGTGAGCATGTAGCCGGCATGGGATTATTGGAAGCCTCTTGATTCTGAAATTATGGGACCGCTAATATAAACCACTCCCAATAAGTAAAATGTGTTCCACTTTGAAATAGGATGTGTGCTATGAGTATTAAGGTTCAATGGCTTTTCATAGGCTATTGTAACACATTACTCTGGTATATTATTCCTATGGAGAATGGACAAAAGTCATTGAGCCTAACAATCAAGGGGGAGAATGTTGGTATTGATCTAGAGGCCCAATGGGCCAAAACGAAAATAAAAGACCAGAAATAAAGTTACGTTAAAGAGAGAAACAGGGAGGCCACGAACCAATGTTCGTACCCCTTGATCTCAACTTACGCGCCCTGATCGGGGGCACCCTAACCAACTATGGTTTTGGTCCCCTGTCGCCAGCGCACATAAAAAGATGGGGGAGCAGCCGTCACCTACGCTAGACGAGTTCTCGTATAGTTTACTCCTGCTCCCCACATCCCTAAACCCTAACCGATCTGGGGAAGCGCTGCACGACGGGAAGATCATCTCCAAGCTCTGCCCCTGTCCCAGGGCAGTGCCGGTGGCGCCCGGAGGGACGCCGCTACCTGCAGCGAGCATCTTCACTGAGCCTGCATCAAGCCTGCATCGAGCAGGCACGGGACTTCGCATCGCCTACACCAATGGCTTCTTCCAGTTGGTGGTAAGAATTCAACCCCTTTCTGTTCATATGCAATTAGGTGATCTGAATTCTAGGCATAAGATCTAATCTATTTTACTGGATTAAATCTAACACGCCCATTTGGCGCGCGATATCCGCGAAAGTGCGGTGGACCAGTGGGTTGCCGGCGAGGTGGTGCAGGCTGCCGATCACCGGCAGCCGCCAGGGGCCAGGCGGCAGCTGCTGCCCAGCGCCGTGGCCGCGCTTCCTAATGAACTTGAGGAGCAGGAGAGGCAGGAGGAGAGCTAAGACAAGATAAATTGCTTGCTCCATGATCATGGCGCCTGCTATTTTCTTGAGCTCACTCGAGAGAAGACTAGGGATCAACTGTACTATATATAGTTATATATACGCATGCGGCACGGACCAAAGTCATGGAGTTCGCTAGGATATACTGCAAAGTGGCGTCGATCACTATGCGAGCAAGACGACCGCATGTTTGGAGGTCAACTTTGCTTGTCGCCTGGAAGGAACCGCCCATGTCGTCGTCATCTCCAATGCGCCAAGGATACGTACTACTCCTACTAGGAAGTGTCTCTGCACATGCATTTAGCATTTAGCATGTTCGCTACTCCCTCCTCTTTCAAATATTTGTCTTTCTAGGCATTTCAAATGGACACAACATATGAATATATGTAGACTTATTTTAGAGTGTACATTCACTCATTTTGCTTTGAATATAGTCACTCGTTGAAATCTCTAGAAAGACAAATACTCCTTCCTACCCGATGCGCCCAGGATAGGTAGTGAAAAAACGAACTGCCGCCCCGTGTCTCCTGCAGCAGGACGCATGCATATCCTAATCGCCCACAGCCACAAGTCTTAAGTGCTACGAACTGGGCATTGACCCCTCTCTGAGCTAAAACCCATCTAAAAAAACCCTGGCTCCACGCAACATAAAGGCACCACGTGGGTCCCAGTACAACGGCAGGTGCTTAGCCAGGTGGCATAGAAAAAAAAACCGATTTTTTTCTTCATATTGGATTGCACGGGTGCTTGGGAAGCTAGGCAGAAGCAAATGTTAGACCCGGTGCCAGCCGGTGCTTAGAAGAATAACTACTCCCTTCCAGCCTCCATCAACAGAAAAATGAAGAGAACAAAAGGCCCAACTTCTCCAGCTCAGCAACCGAAGCACCTCTGCATTGCAGGACGACTTGCGACGCTGCTCTTTTTCCTCAAGCATCTGTGCATAAGCACCTGTTATTGTACAAGGCCTCAGTAAGCCGAGTGCCACTCTCAGCCTAATTTTCCTGCAGGGAGCAATCACGTACCGCCGGTGCCCAGGAATAAGCCGACCGTATTTCTATACTCTCATTGACTCCATCATCGCAGGTCTTCATTCTTTGGCTGCCGCGATGTCCCCGCCATCACCACCACCACCGCTGGAGCCTGAATAGAGCTTTTCCTTGTCGTTGGGGCTTGTTTGGCTGTGCCCCCAGCCGAACCTCTTTTATTTGCTTTCTATACTCTGTCCTATACTACTTTTATATTATTGGATGCTTGGTGGTTGTGCTTTATAATATAAAGCGAAGGAAACCCTTTTTCGTGTAATAAGCCGACCGTATTTCCTTCTGGGAAAGGTGTATATGTAAGCCGAGTACCTTGCTCTTGGCTTAAACATGTACTGGCAATGCCATTTCATCCTAGGAGTTCCAAGGAGCCTACACGTGTCTTGTAAGCTGAGTTATATGCTCGGCTTAGATGTGTAAAACGAGTACAATGGTCAGTTTATACCCTAGAATGCTTTTTGTTTTTGCCATCCAACACTTACTTCTCACATGTTCTTTTCGTCATCGACTGTTTACCCGCTTGTGAAAACTGGACAAGGCCATATTATCATGTTTAGAATCTCAATAATGCTACATACATGTCCAATCCACATGCTCCGTCGACTATCCTTGAAATATACATATATGTATCAAAAACTTGACGAATATTGTTGTTGTGATGAGGATGAGATGATCCAACACTTATTTCTTGCATATCTTTTTGGTCGCCTTTTCTGGCGAACGGCATACATGGTTTTAATTTTTCACTGCCGACATTTATACCCACATGGCCATGTATTGGATCCATATATATGGGGCGTTCGCTTTTGTGTGTGTACGACCAACATAGCCATGTATTGGTCTCATGCATTATGCAGAGGTGGTCTCTGGGTGCGACCAACATTTTTTGGAAAGGGGGTTAAAACCTTCCATGTTGCTTGTTGACTTAGCCAAACATGGAAGAAGATCCCATGCTGAAGAGTCCTTTGTAGACGTCTTGGTGACACTAAGCACACATTCTTAATCAGTTGTTGGCTTGTGCTCATAGTTCCTGAAGATGGTATTTCCACTGTTGTTCTTTTGAACATTCTCCAAAGAGGTGGTTGGCGCTTGGCGGTACGGAAACCGCCTGTACCCTCAGTAGGCTGGTTAACGTGGCCGGAAGTACCAGAAGGGAGTTCACACAAGTAGTGGAGCTTAGAAAATTTGACTTTAGCTCATAATATCAAACAAAGAATATCAGATTGGTGATGGGAAACCTTGTATTTGCTATTCAATACCAAAAAAATATTATTAGTTGAGACTTATGAGACTGGCCATAACGATTCATGCTGAGCGACCGCGACCAGCCGCCCACACCCACACCGACGGTGGCCATTCCGGCCCCGTCGGCCACCAAACCGCAGCCCTGCGTCCGGCCGGCCGGCATGCTGCCGCCACCTCCTGCCGCGCTCCCCGCGGGCTCCGTGCAGCGCATCATCCCGCTGCCATCCCCGTTCCCTACTCAGTTAGATCTGGATTGAGATCCAGCGCCGCCGCCAACGCTGGCTTGCCCTGCCGTGCCCGTGATGCTCCCCGTGTCCAAGACCTTAGCCGCTAAGACGACACCACCGGCTCCCGCTCCAACGACACCGCTGGCTCTCGCTCGGTCGTCCCTGGCTACCGCCGCCGTCGAGCTGGCCGCGGCTGCACTCGCCTTCCGCAAGGCCGATCCGGCCGTAGGTGGTCATCTGGCCCATGGTTGTTGTCTGCCAAGGACCGTGAAGACGAGCGCTACAGCGCGCCTGCCCGTCGTCCATGCTACCATGGCCGGCGCGTCCGTTCAGGATCTGCACCTTCAGTCGGCCCTGCAATGTGGTTGTCCAACTCCGGCGGCTCATGCTCTTCTCCAGTGCACTCTGCCCGTTCAAGATCGGGAGAATCGTGGTCCTGCTGGGCCGACAGTGACCTCTCCGATCCTGCAGGCCACCACCACCGCTCCCCCTGCCAGCAACTCCGCCGACCAGCTGTCGCCGCCTCCGGCATCGACTCCTGCACCCCTGTCGACGGCTATGCCGACTGAGTACACTGCTCCCCGAACATCGTTGTCGTCGCCGCTGGCATCAGGCGACTCTGCAAGCATGTCTTGCACCATCCCAGTCACTTCTCCCGTGCATTCGGCTTGGGGAGATTGGCTTGGATGCTTCCGCAAGGAGAAGTCTCAAGCTGCTCTCATGTGTTGTGCGCCGGCACCTCATGAAGATTCATTTGGGGACTGGCACCTCGTCAAGGGGCGCCGTCATTCACCATCTTCAACAAACTTCCGGCGTCCCGCTTCTAATGCACAACCGACTCCTCCGGCGTGGCTGAGGGGCCGATGCTTTCGGTGCCTCTGCAGAGGTCATCATGCCCGCTCTTGTAGGGACCCAGTTCGGTCCAGGAACTGCCTTCGCTTTGGCCACATTGCTCGCTTTTGCCGCGCAAAACAACCCAGGGACCAGACTACGCCGCTAAGTCATGTTACTCCACTGAATCCACCAATGTCTGCTCCTGCCAACGATGCTACCCCGATGTTTGCTCCTGCCAACGATGCTACCCCGACAGATGTACCGCAACAGTTGGTCCTCATGGAGCAGGTTGTGCTGCTCCGCACCGAGCTGCAAGACTGCTTGGCGAGAGTTGGGAGTGTTTTGGCAAATGCAGAGGCCGCTCTTGCCAAGCTCCAGGTTGTGCCTGTTATGTCCCTGATGCCCAAGATCCATGTTAATTCGGTCGATGAGGAAGCTGGCATGTATGGAGATCTCTCCCCTCGCAGTGCATCCTGCCCATCGCCGTTGCCTATCGTGCTGATTACTTCTGGAAGTGAAGCTGTTATCGAGGTCGTGGCTCCGGTGCTTCAGATTATGCCTGAGCTGCAAAAGCTTTGTGGGGAGCCCACTTCGCCTATTTCGATGGTGCTTCCTATGGAGATGGAGTCGCTTGGAGGGGCCTTGACGATGCCGACCTCGACCTCACCACCGTCGTTGGAGCACAGTCAGCCACTCGCCTTTGTGGACCATGGAGGGTTGGATGTTGCTATTGCTCTCTCACCTGTGGCTGTTGGCCAGGTGCCGTCTATGGGTGTAGGTGCTTTGGCACCTAATTCTGAGGCGGTAAAGTCCATCTGGCCGCCCATCTTTGACCGTGATGGTATGTTGGCACATATTGACGAGTTGGTCTTCGTGAAAAAGCTCGGCGGCTTGCTCACCCGTTTGGAGGCAGTTAGTCCTGGATCTGGCAAGGCGATTGCTTGCCTCGTAGCGGAGGAGGCTTCTACGGGCAAAATCAAGCAGGTGAAGAAGGCTCTCAGGAGCATAGGCAAGAAGAGTGGCGTCACTGGTAAGGCGTCAGCGGCTGTTTAATGGATGATACTCAATCTCTTCGACCACCATCTTCGATTGGCTCGTCTCCATGGATTTGGTGGTGTCTGTTGTCTTTAACCTTGGTTTCGTTGGGGGTTTTTTTGCGATGTAGAAGTGTGAAGGATCATGATTGTTTCGTCCTATGTATGTTTGTCGGGTTAACCGTGTGGTTATGCAGTTTCTTTCTCAGCGAGTAGTCCGTATGTGGTCTATATGTATCGGTTTTCGCCTGGTTTTCCGTTAATTAACTGGTCAACTCTCTTCTTCTTAATTAATCGATGAGGCAAATCTTTTGCCTTCGTTTCGAAAAAAAGTTATTATTGATTTTTTAATAAATCATGAAAACAGTACAGTACTTACCACCATAACACACTGGTAACAAAATGTACAAGAAATTTGTGTACTAATTGCAATATGCGACATACGAAGGAGGCGTTAATTAAGCAGCACGACGACTTTGGCATACAGATACAGGTCGTTCTTCCGGCCGACGGCGATGCCCATCTCCTCCTCCATATCCAACTCCCCTCCGGCAGGAAGCTCCCAATCAAAGTGGTAGAGGAGGGCAGCAAGGGCCAGCTCCATGCTAGACTGCGCGAACAGCATCCCCGGACAGATCCTTCGGCCTGCCCCGAACGGTGTGTACTCGAAGTTGGTTCCCTTGAAGTCCACTTCGCCCGACTCGAACCGCTCCGGCCTGAACTCCTCTGGGGCATCCCAGTGCTTGGGGTCTCGGCAGATCGCCCACGTGTTCACAAACACGGTGGTGCCCGTTGGCATGTCATAGCCGAGGACCTTGCACGCCTCGGTGGGCTCGCGCGGCAGCAGTAGGGGCACCGACGGATGCAGCCTGAGCGTCTCCTTGATGACCAGCCTCATGTACTTGAGGTCAGCCAGGTCGTCCTCAGTTACGCTTGGCTTTCCTTGTAGGTGGTTACGTACTTCGGCTTGTGCTTTTGCCATGGTGGTTGGGTTCCTCATCAACTCTGACATGGCCCAGATGAGAGTCGTCGCCGACGTCTCGCTCCCAGCACTAAACAGGTCCTGCAAATCATGCAAATTTAGAAAATTAAAATTTACTAGTTAGTGAATGAAAACAATTAGCCGGGTGGTAGCTTACCACTAATAGACACTTGATGGCTCCCATGGTGAAAGGGACGTCGTGGCCGCCTTCCTTCTGTATCCTGAGGAGCACGTCCAATAGGTCCTCCTGCTCCCCTTCCTTCCCGTCGCCGTTGGACGCGGCGGCGGCGGCCTTCACCTCCTCGTGCTGCTTGATGGCGCAGTCGATGAGCTCGAAGGCCTTGGTGTGATTCTCCCACGCCTGTCGGGCGGAGCCGCTAACGAAGCCGACGAGCCAGGATGAGGGGAAGAGGTCGCCGAGGTTAAACCCCGAAAGGATCTTGACCCCCTGTTGGAGCACCTCCAGGAATTCTTCCCGCTTGCTGAACCTGTCCCCGATCATGGCGCGCAAGGTCATGTCTGCGATGAGCATGGCGAGCCGCTTGCTGACGTTGATGGGCTCGCCGGTACTAGCTGAAATGACGGCGACGAGGCGCGTCACCTCCTCCTCCCAGACGTTGCGGAACGACTGCACCCGGCGGGCGCTGAGCAGCTCCATGATGCAGATCTTGCGGAGCTGGCGCCAGTGAGCGCCGTAGGGCGCGAACGCCAGCCCGACCCCATCGGACATGATGATCTTGGTGGTGGGGCTCCACGGCCGCGTCGCAAACGTGACGTCCTGCGTCTTCATGACCTCGCGCGCGGCCTCGGTAGAAGAGGCCACCACCACCGGCACCTCGCCGAGCTTGAGGTATACTAGCGGCGCGTCGCCCAGCCGGCGCGCGATGTCCTCGAAGGCACGGTGGACTAGTGGGTTGCCGGTGATGTGGTGCAGGCTGCCGATGACCGGTAGCCGCCAAGGGCCAGGCGGCAGCTGCTGCCCAGCGCCGTGGCCGCGCTTCCTGATGAACTTGAGGAGCAGGAGAGGCAGGAGGAGAGCCAAGACGAGATAAATTGCTTGCTCCGTGGTCATGGCGCCTGTTATTTTCTTGAGCTCACTCGAGAGAAGGCTGGGGATAAACTGCACTGTATATACGCATGCGGCACAGACTAAATATATCGAGTACGCTAGGATGTTCTACTGTAAACTGGCGTGGATCGCTATGCGAGCGAGACGACCAGATATTTGCAGGGCAAGTTTGGTTGTCGTCCGGAACGAACCGCCCGTCTCGTCGTCGTCTCCGATGCGCCAAGGATACGTACTACTTCTACTAGGGAGCGGAGATTCCCTAGACGATCGTGATGGGTGCACGATCGCGCTTTGTTCTTCATCCACACACTACATAGTGAAAAAACCGAACAATAGGTCTTTTTAGACTACCCATAGTGGAAGTAGCATGCTACCTCCATCCTGATTTATTGATCCCTTTGTATTTTATATTAAATTTTGATTTTACTTATAACTAACAAAATGTTAATGCTTGTCACGAAAAATAATATTGTTGTAATCTATGTTTAAATACAAATACAACGCTATAAATTTTTGATTGCATGCATTAATACTTTATTAGTTAAAACCAATAAACCAGAACAGAGGTAGGTGGTAACATCATATATATGCAGGCAAAATAGATGATATGGTAAATAATTAATGAGGAAAGAGATGCATGTGATAATATAGTATGTTACTCACACTATAAGTAACATCACACATACTGATAAGATGAGTTATACATATAACTTATATGAAGTGTTGCATGACACCACACATATGTTAATCCCCACTATGAGTAGTCTTAGTACTATGAACTAGGCATTGACCCCTCTCTAAAAGAAAAACCCTGGCTCCTAGCAACCTAAAGGCACCACGTGGGCCCTCTGTAAGCCGAGTGTCACTCTCGGCTTAATTTTCCTACATGGAGTAATCACATGGTGCCAGTGCCCAGGAATAAGCTGTGACCGTATTTCTCTCTGTGCAAGGCGTATATGTAAGCCGAGAACATTAATCTAGTCATGGCTTATATGTAAGCCATGTACCTTGCTCTCGGCTTAAATCTGTACTGGCAATGTCATTTCGTCCTAGGAGTTCCAAGGAGCTTACATGTGTCTTGTAAGACGCGGTCTATGCTCGGCTTACATGTGTAAACCGAGCTCGTGTTTCTTTCTGTTCAAGTTGTATATGTAAGCCGAGAACATTAATCTGCTCACGCCTTATATGTAAGGTGTGTGCCTTGCTCTCGGTTTAAACCTGTATTGGCAGTGCCATTTGGTCATAGGAGCTCACAGGGGCTGACACATGTCTTGTAAGATGAGTTCTATGCTCAACTTACATGTGTAAACCGAGTACAATAGTCAGATTATACCCCAGAATGCCTTTTGTTTTTTGGATCCAACACTTACTTCTCACATGTTCTTTTTGTCACTGACTGTTATCTGCTTGTGAAAACTGGACAAGGCCATATTATCCTGTTTAGAACTCAATAATACTACATACATGTCCAATCCACATGCTCCATCGACCGTCCTTGCAATGTACGTATGTGTATTAAAAACTTGACAAATATTGTTGTCGTGATGAGGATGAGATGACCCAACACTTATTTCTCGCATGTTCTTTTGGTCACGTTTTCTAGAAAACGGTGTATGTGGCTTTAATTTTTCATCGCCGACATCTATATTT